TCCCAGATGAGTTTGGGATTGGAACTTGCCAGTACCTTGAATGCGTTGAGCCTTTGAGAGGCAGAGGGTTACCCCTGTTGGTCCAGCCTCACTCCCATCACCCTCGTGGAGGTGGTATGGAAAGGGCACCTACAGGGTGGTGGTTGAAACAGCACTGGAGGCACACTGAGGTGATGTAATGGCCCACGCCCACATCCACACCCACAGAGATGTAGGGTGTTCATGTCCTGAGGCTAGGTTGGTGGTGGCCTTACTGGGCACCGAGCCCGGGTCCTCTCCCCTAGTGATTGCAGCAGGTGCTCTTCACAGAGGAGGAGATGGAGCTGGGGCTGGGAAGGACCCAGGTGAGTTTCCATCCCCTCAGCCCATCAGTCAGGCTGGCCCTTCCCTGCAGACTCGGGCCGATGGCAGTGGGTGTGTACAGAGGTGGTGCAGATGAACTTACCACCTGGGGCACAGAGGAGGAAGAAGGCATGGGGGCGAGGTAATCTGTGGACCCTTAGTGTCTCCCCAGTGCCAGGGTGATGGGAGGCCTGCTCCCCACTCCTCTGGGTGCTTCGGCCCTACACCTCTGGGCTCCCTGTGTGGTCACACCTGGGGCCACTGAGAGGCAGAGTTCTCCACACCTCAGTGGGACAGGTCTCCATGATATCCACAACCACAGGGCCAGGCTGAGGACTGACTATGTGCCAGGCCCTCATCCTCCATAAAGTGAGTGACAGTGCCTTGACCTCAGCCACTGGAAGAGACAGTGAGATCCTGGCATGGCCTCGTTGCTTCTGGATCCCTCGGCAACTCCTTCACAGTGACGTGACATCGGCAGGATAGTTGCCATGGGGTGCTAAGGGAAGGGATCTGTCTGCCCACTTCATCCAGAGCAGTTTGTCTCTGCCTTTTCTCTCATCGGGGGTCAGGCTTCTTCCCCTTTTGACAAAAACAGGACCTAACTGTGGGAGGAGGCTCTGAGCCCAGCCTTAAGACATCTCTTGACACCTTTAAGAGACTCTCAGAGACCCAGGGCTGGGCACTTAGCACAGAGGAAGCAAGTACCCCCTCCTCCCTGAGGGCAGGTGGACGCAGGGAGGCCTGGCTGGCAGCTTATGTGGATCACCCCTGCTTTGCGCTCTGAGCAAACCATCTGCTTTGGGGGGAGGGCCCTCCAAAGGCCTATAAAGTCCCTCAGGGCTGAAGTGGCTGCAGGAGGCCAAGCAGGCTGGAGGGAGAGGTCCTCTTGGGTCTCTCAGCATCTGCCCCAGTTGAATGCTGGTCTCAGACCACCGTCTGTATGAGGCAGTTCAGCCCTGAGTGCTGAACACAAAAAGGTGGGGACAAAAAGCAAGAAGCAGCCCTCGCTGCACATTAGGTAATGCGATGCTTACCTTGAGAGAAAGACAACATATCGACCCCACTGGGGAGCAGGCACTTCTTATGCAGTACCCCCGGGGACTCCTGAGGCCAACCAAGGCCCCATAGCACCTGCTCACCTTGGGCACCTTGTCCCCACCACTAGGCAGGGGGTGTGGCCCAGCCCCTGGGACCTGTCCTGGGCTGTAAGTCCTGGCTCTGCCACTGCCTGGCCATGTGATCCGCAAGCCACTTGGTCTCTCTCGGCCTCAGTGTCCCCCCAAGACCATGTGGTAGGGATGAGGGTGCCCCCCTCGGAAGAGTGGCTCAAACCCCTTGCTACCTCAAGGCAGTTGCTGGGCAGTCATCCTTGTCACAGTGAGTGGGGCCTGGTGTGGTCACAGTCTTGTCCTGGTTAGTCTCGTGGCACATTCTGGGCGGGATGGGAGGCCCAAGAAGCTTAGCCAGCATCACTGAGCTCTTCAAAGGGCTGTTGCCGACACACCCCATGACATGTTCCAGCGCGACTCAGTTTCTGCCAGCCCTGTGTGCACACGCAGTCGGCGCCCAGTGCATGCTGGTAGCATGAATAGACCCTGTTCACTGAGACTCTGTGTCCTGGCCCCTGCTGGGCTCCCTGTCTTGCTTCTGTCCTGCCCCACCCTTTGACATGAGCCACTGTTTGTCTCTCGCAGCGGGCAGGGTGTCGGCCGCCGTGGCACTGTCCCGGGAGCCCTACATGTGTGCACAGTGCAAGACCGACTTCACGTGCCGCTGGCGGGAAGAGAAGAGTGGGGCCATCATGTGCGAGAACTGCATGACGTCCAACCAGAAGAAGGCACTCAAGGTGGAGCACACCAGCCGTCTCAAGGCCGCCTTCGTAAAGGCTCTGCAGCAGGAGCAGGAGATCGAGCAACGCCTCCTGCAGCAGGGCGCTGCCCCCGCCCAGGCCAAGGCTGAGCCCGCTGCCCCGCACCCCGCCCTAAAGCAGGTGAGAGCAGTGCCGTGAACCACCCCATCCCACCACCACCACCACCACCACCACCACCACCCGTCCCCCTCAATCCCGCCAGGGCCAGCCTCCTTGGAGCTGTCCACAGGACTCGGAAGAGTGGCTCAAACCCCTTGCTACCTCAAGGCAGTTGCTGGGCAGTCATCCTTGTCACAGTGAGTGGGGCCTGGTGTGGTCACAGTCTTGTCCTGGTTAGTCTCGTGGCACATTCTGGGCGGGATGGGAGGCCCAAGAAGCTTAGCCAGCATCACTGAGCTCTTCAAAGGGCTGTTGCCGACACACCCCATGACATGTTCCAGCGCGACTCAGTTTCTGCCAGCCCTGTGTGCACACGCAGTCGGCGCCCAGTGCATGCTGGTAGCATGAATAGACCCTGTTCACTGAGACTCTGTGTCCTGGCCCCTGCTGGGCTCCCTGTCTTGCTTCTGTCCTGCCCCACCCTTTGACATGAGCCACTGTTTGTCTCTCGCAGCGGGCAGGGTGTCGGCCGCCGTGGCACTGTCCCGGGAGCCCTACATGTGTGCACAGTGCAAGACCGACTTCACGTGCCGCTGGCGGGAAGAGAAGAGTGGGGCCATCATGTGCGAGAACTGCATGACGTCCAACCAGAAGAAGGCACTCAAGGTGGAGCACACCAGCCGTCTCAAGGCCGCCTTCGTAAAGGCTCTGCAGCAGGAGCAGGAGATCGAGCAACGCCTCCTGCAGCAGGGCGCTGCCCCCGCCCAGGCCAAGGCTGAGCCCGCTGCCCCGCACCCCGCCCTAAAGCAGGTGAGAGCAGTGCCGTGAACCACCCCATCCCACCACCACCACCACCACCACCACCACCACCCGTCCCCCTCCCTCCCGCCAGGGCCAGCCTCCTTGGAGCTGTCCCCAGGAGGCAGGACGATCCAGCGTTCTGGCCCACGCTCGCGTTCATCCGCCCAATTGTTAACTGCGTGTCTAAATTGCACTTAATGGTGGCGTGTGGCAGCGAAAATACTAATTTGCAGTTTCTTTAGATTTTGTAGCTTTCCCTTACAGCGCGCCGGCTGACAAGCACTTCTTGTCTGAAAGGACTTTTCTGAAAGCCACACTGAGACACCAAAGGGGCGTTTGGAAGAAATGTTCTAGCTAAATTAAGGAGAGGAGCAAGTTTCAGATCAAGTTTTTTGTTGTGGTGTTTTGTTTTGTCCCCCCTCCCCCAAACCCTTAGCTTTTCTACTCTCCAGAGACCTGAAGCTTCCTTTTGGCAATTTTGGTTTCCTTTGAAAGTTGTTTGTAGTTCTCTGAACAGCTTTTTTTTTTCAAGATCCCCACGTGGCCCTCAGGGGTCGGGCCTGTCCTGGGGGGCTCACCTCCGGTCACCCTGGGCCAGCGGCAGACATCACTGACCTCGATTTCAACCCCCGTTTGTATAGGTCATAAAGCCCCGGCGTAAGTTGGCGTTCCGCTCAGGAGAGGCCCGCGACTGGAGTAACGGGGCCGTGCTACAGGTCAGAACTGCGGCGCCGGGGGCCTCACGCAGACTGCGGCCTCGTCAGTCGCCGACTGTCACGCTGCCTGCGTCTGTCTGTCTCTCTGTCTCTTTCTCTTTCCCCTAGCCCCCCGGTGTCACTCACCTGGTCTCCTGATTTTGGACTTTAGGGACCCTGTGTGGGTGGGAAGAGGTCGGCCAGAACGAGGAGAGGCCGTGCTGAGCGTCTCCCTTGCTGCCGTCCCTTCCCCATGTAAGCCCTCGCCCTCGCCCTCTGTCTCCAATGCAGGCCTCTAGCCAGCTGTCCCGGGGCTCGGCCTCAGCACCCCGTGGCGTCCTGCACACGTTCAGCCAGTCGCCCAAACTGCAGAACACAGCCGCGGCCACCGCTCTGGTGAGCAGGACCGGCAGACATTCCGAGAGAGCCCTGAGTGCCAGCAAGGGCAGCGCTACCCCCAACTGGAAGAAGACGCCCCTGGGCACAGGTGGGTGGCCTCCCTGGGCTCCACACAGGAGCCTCGCTGCTACTCGGCCCACCCCTTTCTGAGCACAACCACCTCCACTCCGGGGCTTCCTGCCTTTGTCCCCTGAGTCACTGACCACCCTCACTGTTGGTACTCACTGCAGTCACGTGCTCAGCCCTGACCCCGGCCCCTGGCAGACCTGGTTCAGAAGGCACTTCTCCCTCCACTCTCTCCCAGCCATCCATCTTCACTCATGATCCCACCCCACTCTGCGCCCTGCCCCTTCGGATACTTTCTTTTGCAGTCATCATATTCTGAAGCACACTCACTTCATTTTTTTTTCCAGTTTGTTTATTTCTTCCATGAGAGAGACAGTACCCCTAACAGGGTCTTCATACCCTGATCCACCCCAGCGAGCCCTGGATGATGGGCATGCTCAGGGAGGTCTCTGGACATGAACCCAGCTCCTCCCATGTCAGCCTCCTATCGTGTCACAGTTTAACCCCATGCCACTGTTTCTCTATTTTATTTTACTTGTTTTAGGTTTTTGTCATAGGGTACATGTGCTCACTGGAGAGAGACAGAGAGACCAAAAGAGGGAAAAGGAGAAATCACTGCTCAGAGGGAATGGCCACGTTGCGGCCTCTTCTCCTCTACTCTCCTCTCAGGATTCTAGACATGCACGCACGCACGCCCAGTGTGATTTTCAAACCACCAGGTCCAGGACTTAAACCATGGTCAGTCATATGAGACCCAGAGTGTTAACCTCTATGTCAGTCTCTGCCCCCTCCCTTTTATTGTTATTTTTTTTCATGAGCGAGAGAGACCCCCCAACAAGATCTTGCCTTACCATGATCCCCAGCCAGCCAGGCTCATGGCCACACTCAGCATGTCCAGGTCTGCCAAGGGTCTGAACCTGGGCTCTCTGTATGCTTCCAGCATCGTGCAGTGGTGCCTGCTGCCTGCACCGTCACAGCTGGGCCTCGCTTCATGGTTGCTCACGCAGACTACATCCTTCTTCCTTTGACCCATGGGACACTCCTTCCACCTTCCTTCTCGGTCTTAGACATGCTACATGCATAATGAAACAAGGCCATGGAGGGGGATCCTTGGGGCAAGGGGCTGCAGTCCCATTCACAGCAGGCAGTGTTGGCAGAATACCGTGGCGGGGGGTGAAGACTCTCAGGTACTCTTCAGTTGGCTGCAGTCCCCCCGACCCATCCTTGGTATTATAACCTGGGCCGCTCGTCCTGCTGAGTTTTGTTGGTTTTTTTTTTTTTTTTTTTTTTTTTCCCAAATATATGCTACACATAGGAAACTAAATTTTTTTGTGTTCACTAAAAAACAGGAAAGTGAAAGGTCGATAGAAGGGCCAAGTGAAAGAAATAGGTTTGCAGAAGTGAAATGCCCCGGGACCAGCAGCTGGCATAATGGTTATGTCACTGGACTCCCATGTAGTCAACTGCGGTTCGAGTCCTGGACCCGGTGGCTTAAACTCATGCCAGGCGCATGTGCGTGCATGCCCAAGATCCCGAGAGGAGAATGAAGGACGAGGGATTGCGGCGTGTCCCCCCCCCTCCCCCGCAGGGGGTGATCTCTTGCTTTCTCTTTCTTGTGAGTGCACGCGCCCTGTAGCAAAAACCTATCCCAGAGAAAAGTAAATAAAAATGCAGTGCCCCCTACATTCCCTGCACCCTGCGTCCTAGTAGAAACGAGGGGCACCATCATGATACCAGCCTGCCAGAACTAGGGAAACGGGGTTTGTACAGCCAGGGCTTAGGAGCCTGCTGTGCTTGTGGCTGCCCTGAGTTAGGGACACACCTGCGCTTCAGTCTTGGCAGGGACAGTGGAGGAAAGGGCCCTCACTGCGACTGCAGACGAATCCAGGAGACTCCAGGCCAGAGCCCATTCGTTAAGAGCCAGACAGCCTCCTGCTTATTAGCTTTTGGAGAAATTAGCCAAGAACTCACAGACCAGCTGGAAATTACTTTAGTGGGAACTTAGGACACAGATGAAATGAGGAAATGTAAAAAAAAAAAAAAAAATGAGCGTGCCCATGTGGATACGGTGACAGAAATCGTATGCAAAATTTGTGTGTGTTTTTCTCTTAAGTTTTTTTTTGGGGGGGGGGGCATTGTTTTGCTATAGGATGTGCACTCACCAGAAAGACAGGAACAGAGAGACATAAAGTGAGAAATCACCCCCAGGGGGATGGCCACACTGCAATCCCTTCTCTATTCTCCTCTTGGGATCTTGGGCATGCACGCACATGTGCCTGGTGACCAGGTCCAGGACTTAAACCACAGTCGACTACATGGGAGTCCAGCAACGTAGCTGTTATGGCATCTGCTGGTCCCAAGATTTAGTTTCCTCCCTCCCTTCCTTCCTTCCTTTCTGTTTGAACAAGAGGAACAGAGCGAGGAGCAGGGTGGCATGTATGCATGTATGTATGTATTTATTTAAATTTGAGCAGAGCGGAACAGAGCAAGGAGCAGGGTGGCATGCATGCATGTATGTATGTATTTATTTAAAGTTGAGCAGAGTGGAACAGAGCGAGGAGCAGGGTGGCAAGAAAGCAAGCCACCAGATCCAGGACTCTAAACTGTGGTTGGCCATGTTGGAGTCTGGTGCCCTTAGCCACCACACCACCTGCCAGCCCACTTGCGTGTGTGTGTGTGTGTTTAAAAGTCAATTTTGACCAGGCGAACAGATGGCAGCGTAGTAGTTACGTCACCGGACTCTCACATGACTAATGACAGTTCAAGTCCCAGACCCGTTGGCTTGAAACTCCCTCCGGTTGCATGTGCATGCATACCCAAGAGCCCTGGGAGAGAACGGAGGAGAAAGGATTGTGGTGTGGCCATCCCCCTGGGGGGTTATTTCTCACTTTCCCTCTCACTGTCTCTGTCTGTCTGTCTCTGTGGAGCACATGCGCCCTATGGCAAAAACCTCTAAAAATAAAAAAAGTGAAGTTTGAAAGGAACAGAGGGGCTGGCTCGGCAGGTCGGTAATGCAGTGCTACATCCACTGTCACATATTGTTGCCCAGGCAACCTACACACACCAGACCTGTGTACCATGGTCCTAGCTGGCTAGGGGGAGGGAGGGTCCCAGTATGAGACCCTATTGAGGGTGCTTGTGTGTGTCTCTTCCCCTCTCTCTCTCCCCCCAACCACATCTCTCCTCTCTCTGGCGAGTGCACATGTCCTATAGCAAAAATTTAAAAAAAAAAAAAAAAAGAATCTTTGGCCCAGCCAGAGTAGTACACTCTGTTAATAGATGCCACTGCTCATCAGGCTAAGGCCACATGGGAGGCCAGATCGAATTCCAGGTCATCCTTTACAGCTGGTGCAGGAACCAGCAGGTGGCATAAGGGTTGTATTGCTTTACTTCATGGAGTCAACCAAGGTTCGAGTCTCAGACCCAGTCGCTTAAAACTCACACCTGGCACATGCAGGTGCATGTCTAAAAATCTCTAGAGAATGGAGGAGAAGGGATTGTGGTGTGGCCATTCCCAAGGGGGGAGGGGGCAGTTTCTCACTTTCTGTCTCTCTGTGTGTCTGTCTCTTTAGCAAGCGCTTGCACTTTATAGCCAAAAAAGTCCTTTTTTTTTTTTTTTTTTTTTTTTTTTTAAAAAGCCACCAA